AAGTCGGAAAATGTAAAGACAATTATTTCACTAAAATCACCTTGCTTTTTTCAGTGGATTGAAACAACATGATTATATATGAAATAAACATTAAAAGTTTCTTTCTTTGATGATTAGCTTACAATTTGAGTTCCAACCAGATAGGGTACCATTTAGTATATTCTGGTTAAATGTTGTAAACTTTTACCATCCCTTATTTTGCTGCAAATTGCCAAGGAAGTGCATTGCTATAATATATAAAACATACCATATAGCACCCAAATTTCAACCCCCCACTCACTGTTTCGTTTGCAAGAAGTTGGGGACGGGAAAATGCAACTGCCCTTAGCTCGAGCAGACGAGGGCATACAAGGGGAGAAAGGGTATGGGATAGTGTGGTTGTGTCTGATTATTGTACACATATTACAACCATAGCATTATTTTGTTATTCTTTATATAACTCAAAAAGTATGGAGGAATAGAAACTTCTAATTCTTAAAAGATGCTCCAGGAATGGAGTAATATTTTGAATATATAAGCACACTATCTTTTACCTGAAACTGCTAGTAAATGATGGCAATATATTTCATGAGTAATTAAGAATATTTTGATGGTAATGATCACTTTAAAATAGGAAAGCTGAAAATAAACAGTTTGTGAAACTACAGGTTAATTGTTTCTGAATTAAATAGTCAAAGCATGTTAGATGTAATTTATTTTTTTTTTATTTTTATATACCAGGATCTTTAATCCCCATCCATATCAGGTTATCATTTTAGAGTATACTTAATCAAAATGTCTTAAAATGCATCAATAAATTTGATATCTATTGATCAGATTGCATCTATGATAGCTGTATACTTCCATGTGTCATATGGCACCTGAAAGAAACAATTTTGAGTCCAGTAGTATATCACAAAAAATAATCAGGAATAAAACCTACCAGTTCTTAAAAGCTGCACCAGGTATCGAGTAAGAATTTGAATATATAAGCTCACTATTCTTTTTTTACCCAAAACTGATACTAAATTATGCCAATATATTGCTTGATTAATTAAGCTTGTATTATTTTAACTTAAGATAAAAAGCTTACTTTGAAGTATGATTTAAGATTATGAATGTCGGAGTGAATCCATAAATTAACTTTTGGAAAATCAACAGATTGTCGTGATCACTGGAGCAAACTCAGGCATTGGGAAGGAGACAGCACGTGACTTGGCAAGTCGTGGAGCCATTGTAATTCTTGCATGCAGGAACCGCCAGGCTGCTCTTGAAGCTGTGAAAGACATCCGTACTACCACTGGAGATGGTGACTTGGCAAGTAAAGTTTTTATTTGAGCAGGGAATTAAATGATCAGAATTGATTTATTGCTGAAATGAACTTGATCCATTAGCACTGGGTGCATACACTTCTTTTATAATATATATAATTCATATAATGTACGTATAATGTATATATAATATTTATGCATGTGTGTGTGTGTGTGTGAGTGCGTATATGATATATATTATATATATGTAATATATCTATGATATATATAATAAATATAATAAATGTGTGTGCGTATGCGTTTGTGCGTGCATGCATGCATGCATGAATGCACACACACGCACACGCACACGCACATACACATACACATACACATAAACACACACATAAACACACACAGGTGCGTTTGTACTTCCTTCCTACATTCCTACACACCATACACATACACTCCTCCTCCTCCTCCTCCTCCTCCTCCTCCCTCATTCTTTGTTACCTGTGTTATAAGTTCATTTTTAATTTCAAAGTAGTTTTCCGTAGCAAGATAGTCTGTGTAATATTTTTATACAAGTTATTCTATAATGATCTGACATCTGATATCCATCACAGATTGTCATGGACCTTGACCTTGGTGACTTGGCATCAATCAGGACATTTGCATCAAACTTCATGGAGAAGTTTAGTAAGCTTGACGTCTTAATAAACAACGGAGGAGTGTTCATCCCCCCAGAAGAGCGAAGGAAGACTAAGGACGGCTTTGAAGTTCACTTTGGGGTCAATCATCTGGGTCACTTTCTTCTCACTCACCTGCTCTTTCATCATATTGAGCGCACACCCAGCTCTCGGTATGTGTTTGACGGCTCTTTGTTGCAATATATCATTGACTGTTGCAGTTCTTTTGGATATGTTAAGTGGCAGTATTTGAAATAGTTTTATCTCGTTTAAAATTTAGAATTTTTTTTGCTGATAAAACCTGTAAAGTAACATTCAGCAATTGAAATGTGTTTTCAAGATTTTTTCGCTAACTTTATTAAAAGCAAGGTATTTGGAAATTATAACTTTGGAAACCAAAAAGAGCAGTGTGTCATAAGCTACTGCTTTACTAACAAGTGGTATAAAACAAGTGGTATAATTAGATTATAACCAACACAAACCTTTACAGAATTGTGAATGTGTCATCACTTCTCTACAAATGTGGCAAGATAGATTTTGATAATCTGGATGCAGATAAAGGCTGGGATAAGAAAGTCAGACATAATGCCCTCTACTGTAACTCTAAGCTAGCAAACATCTTCCATAGCCAAGAACTGGCGAAGAGACTTCAAGGCAAGTATTGATTTTCATGTCTTTCTTCTTAATTTCCTTTGAATTAGTAACCTCACATGTACATACATACATTTAGTTTGCAAAGTTCAGTCAGAAAGGTTCCAAGATTCTAAGAAAAATTAACATTTTAATTGAAATGTTTTAAGCTGCATCCTCCAAAGCCACTTCTTGTGGGCCTAAGCATGGATTCCCCAGGTCAAGCTTTTGAGACAAGTGTACTCTGCCACAGCAGTTTCAGGGTTCTAAAACCTCCTTCCACAGAACTCTCCTTTGGTTTTTGGTATCATATAGAATTTGCAAGTAGCCAGGTTGGGACTGTAAGGAAGATGGCCCTTGCAACTCAGCCTTTACTCTTCAAAAAGTCCACTTGTCAATAAAAAGAGGAAAGGTCTTGATGCCACCCCTGGGCTGTTTCTTTAGTTCTCCATCTGGGTGATTTGGACTTGATATCTTGACATGAGGCATCACCTGATATCTGGTAATATTCTCCTTGGTTTTGAAAGAACATCACTTGTCACTAGTGAGTTATAAATCTTTTGAATCAAACCAATGGTAAATGGTTGTTCAATAAATTTATAGAAAATCAGCACTTAGAAGTCTTGTCTGGTGGATTACAGCTGTATTGAAGCTGTAAAAAAAATATTTCAACATGATTGCAAGCATATACTTGTCACTTCTGGTAATTTCAGACCCACCTTCATATTGGCTTAACTTTGTGTTTGTTTGATACCATGTGATTTATTTTCTGTTATGCTGTGACAGGAACAGTACACTGTAGACCTATGTGTACTTATTGTTTTTATTCAACTTTTCAGGCACAGGAACAGGAGTATTTGTTTTGTGTCCTGGCTTTGTGTACACTGGGCTCATGAGATACAGTGCCCACCAGTTCAGTTGGTTCAAAAAACTGTGCTTTGCTCCTATTATTTTCCTGTTTATGAGGACACCTAAGCAGGTAAGAAAAACCTAAAGAACAAAGATTTAGGTTGAACTAAGTATAGTTGATATAGCCAATAGAAGATTTTCACTACTTGCAAAGGTACTCCATTATGATTAAATACATATTGAGAGGTACTTGAGTTATGTTGTAGCTGAATGATTCATGATCTGACTCTCAAACTAGTAAACATATTTTACTATTGCAATTTTATTGGTGTGATTGTATGTGCTTGTATTTTGAATGCTGAAGTTGTACATGTTTCTCCAGACAGATGTGGATATCCTTGGTACACTTTCTTTCCCCAAATTTATTGATATTACCATATAGTATAGTAATAGTCCAGAATCTAGCTTAGTTGTTAACATGCATAAAGTAAGGGTTGAAGACATGTCACATGGAAGTGCATATTCTGCATGTACATGACTTTTTTGTAGATATTCTAGACACCATACTTATAATTATTGTGATAACTTTTCTTAACAGGGAGCCCAGACTACTATCCACTGTGCTGTATCAGAGGAATTGGATGGTGTGGAATGGGGATTCTTACGTGAGTGCAAAATTGATAAACTGGAAGCCGTTGCAGAAGACCCTGACACTGCTGCCAAACTATGGGATGTGTCTATGGCCCTTGTGGGGGAGGGAGGCTCTGCATCAGCAGCCCTGGAAGATGATAATGGCTTTGTTGAGGGGCAAGATGCAGAAGCAGTAATGGTGGAGGAAGAGGCCGTTTTGGTGGAAGATATTCAAGTGGAGGAAACCACAGTATTGAAAGCAAGCCCTCAGGTGGAAGAGAAGGGTCCAGCTAAAGAGGAAGAACAAATGTTAAGAGAAGAAACCGAGTCACCTGATGCAGAACTAGAGACTCTAGAGAAAGAAGAAAGTGATGAAGAAGAAGAAGGAGAACTACTAGACGAGGATTTTGTCAACAGCGACAAGGAGAAGCTGCTGGAACAAAAAAAGCCAGATGAAGTAAAGTTAATGAAGTAGGGGTAAAGTAAATACACCATCCATACGAGGACAGTCGCACTTGACATGCATACGTAGTCACAAACGAGTAGAAATTATGAATCTAGGAACTGTATATGCATTCAGATATAATCAACTGCAGATCTGCTTGTAAGCCAAATCAGATTCATAACATGTTTGAGATATGTACAATTAAATTTGGCTCAGCAGTGGAAAGTTGGCTGTGTAACACTTGTGATTTTGCAATAGTAAATTTATAGATATTCTAAGGTTTGCTCTATTTTATTAAAGCAAAGGCATATAAAAGCTGTAAATAATTAAAAGCTTAAACGAGTCGTCCTGCAAAGTATTGCCAAACTCAGGAAAGGCCTTGAGTCTGCTTAAGTGGTATTACTTCTGTATTGTGGATGTTTGTTATCATAGTCATAACAGGGTAATGGTACCTGCATTTGCTTACATGTGTTGTGTTTATGTGTTGTACAAATATGTTGTCTGGTTTTCTTAGACTTGCTCTAATGAAAATCTTAAAGATTAAATGCTGTTAAATGTTGCTATATCAGCTATTCAAGCATTTTAGATTTAAATCCTGGCCAGTACAGACTCAGACATTATCCAAAAGACATATCCAGGACTAGGATTATGAAGAATTCAGTATCCAATTGTATTTTCTTATATTTTTTTCAGTTTATTTTATTTTATTATTTTTTTTAAAGGTAAAGCTTGTATTATTAAAAATATATACTGACTGGGAAATCAGACATAATTTTGATATAACAAGTTTTTCTATATTAACAGTGTTTCTGCATATGATGACCTAAAATAGTTGCAAGAACAGTAAGTCATTATTCAAGATTATCACAATCGGTAGAAAAAGTTTTTTTTTAAGCTATTTTTAAACTTCAGAAATAGACAAGAAGAGAATGACTTGCTCAAACATCCTCCTACAGCCTAACCAGTTTATATCTCCTTTTTTCTTTATTACTGAATTTTAATAATATTAACTTAGAAATGGGTTTTGCTATTCTTGTCTCTATGGGTAGTTTCATAGAAGTACTTCATGATTAACAAGAAATACTTAAAAGATATAACCTGCATTCACTCTTAACATTTGTTGTTGTTAACAGCTTTTGTAGAGGAAATCTTTGTGAAAGATTTTACAATTTTGCAATACTTGAACTTGAAATAGTTTGCTTCCTAAAATCCATATCAGGGATTTCATAATATAGAACAGATATTTATATATATATATAGATCCACTGTATGCAATATATATTATATAGATCCATTGCACCTTTTGGGAAGAAAATACTTGTCAATTACAAGTAATTTTCTTTTTAGAAAATTGTCTATGATATATTGGTATATATATTTTTTTTCATTTGGATAAGATACTGAATTTGTTTCACTTTAAGCTTCAGTTACCATATGAGTTATAATTTCATTGTAATGATATGGATTTTTGTCAATCATTCATAGTTTTGAATTAATAAATATTTCAACCTAAGATTATTTTACTATCCTAGTCTGCAAGTATTTAAATTTATTGGTTTAATTTTTTTTTTTTTTTTTTTTTTTTTTTTCAATATAATTTTTAGCAAAATATCTCTCAGCATTGGTCTAATTGGCGAGAAGCTCTTATCCTTCCCTTCCTGAAACCCAATAAATCGGGTACCCTCCCTCAAGACTATCGCCCCATCGCACTAACTAGCTGCTTGTGCAAACTATTAGAGCGAATGGTGAACTTCCGCTTAATGTGGTATCTTGAATCTCACAATCTTCTCTCTCCTTCCCAATTCGGTTTTCGCCGTGCCAGAAGCACAGCTGACCCCCTTGCTCATTTTGAGACATATATTACATCCGCATTTGCACGCCATGAATCCGTACTAGCTATATTTTTTGATCTAGAAAAAGCATATGATACGACATGGCGGTACCATATTCTCCAACAATTGTCCTCTCTAGGCATACGTGGAAACATGGGTGTCTTCATAAAGTCTTTCCTCTCCCAACGCACTTTTCAGGTCAAAATTGCTTCTGCCACATCATCTTTCTTTCCTCAAATCGAAGGTGTCCCACAAGGCAGTGTGCTCAGTACCACTTTATTCCTTCTAGCTGTTAATGATATTGTCTCAGTTTTACCACCAGGAGCCCGGTCATCACTATATGTTGATGATTTAACCATCTATGCATCTGGCACATCCATACCAAATCTCTACCAATTTCTTCAATCTGCAATCTCATCAGTATCTTCCTGGGCCACAAACCATGGCTTCCGCTTTTCTATCTCTAAATCTTTCTCCATCCTTTTCTCTCGCTCACGTGTAAATCCCCTACCCCCACTCTTCCTATATGGCACTCCACTCCAATGTCGTTCCTCTGGCAAATTCCTAGGCGTCATTTTTGACTCCAAACTGACCTGGCGAGACCATATTCTACACATTAAAGAAAAAGCTCTCCGCCGCCTTTGAATTTTAAAAACTCTATCCCATATATCATGGGGCTCAGATCGCAAAACTCTCCTTCATCTTCATGTTACTTTGATCCTCTCCACTCTTGATTATGGATGCCATATCTACTCTGCCTCAACTTCTCTCCTTGCCCATCTTGACACAATCCATCACTGTGGTCTTCGCTTAGCACTAGGCGCCTTCCGCTCCTCTCCAGTTGAGAGCCTGTATACTGAATCAGGCATACCATCTCTATCTAGACGTCGTGCCCTGCTCTCACTCCGATGTTATGTTCGTTTCCACCAACTTCCCCTCACTAAACTAACTATCCCACAATCCCTACTTCCTACCTTAGCTTCATCTCCACGCTTACCTACTCCTTTCTCCACTCGCATGGATACCCTCCTCTCCCATTCCCCTTTCCCCCATCTCCAACCTCTCCCGTTCTCTGTCCATTCCGTCCCTCCATGGCTTATACCTCACCCCCATATTTGCTCTTCTGTTTTCCCCGACCCACCAAAATCAAATATTCCTCCTACTGTCCTTCTCATCCATTTCCTTGACCATGTCTCCACCCATTCCTCTAGTATACACGTATATACTGATGGCTCCAAATCCACCTCTGGTGCTGGTTTTGCAGTAATATTCCCAACTCGTACTTTCAAATACTCCCTTCCTCCTGAATCCAGTGTCCTTACTACTGAACTGTATGCACTCCTTTTTGCCCTAAAACACATATACTCACTCTCCTCTTCCTCTTTTACAATTTTTACTGACTCCCGTAGCTCATTAACTCTCATAAAGTCAATACACACCACCAACCCCCTTGTTTGTAAGATCCAGAACTGGTTGTTCTACCTGTCCACACGCCACAAAACAATCAAATTTTGCTGGGTGCCCAGCCATGTTGGAATCCCCGGCAATGAACAGGCAGATACACTAGCACGCCACGCTGCTATGTCCACATCATACCAACCACGCTTCTCACGTATCCCAGCCACGGATTATTACCCACACTTTAAGACCTTCTTGTATAAACGATGGCAATCTTTCTGGTCAAGCCTCCACACTAATAAATTACATTCTGTAAAACTATCAATCTCCTCCTGGTCATCTCCATTTCATCGGAACAGACGTTGGGAGACTGCTCTCGCCCGCTTACGCATTGGCCACACCCGTCTAACACACTCCTATCTGATGTCACAATCTGATCCACCCCTATGTTCCTTATGTAATGTTCCCCTTTCAATCGTACACATCCTATTGTCGTGCCCACGTTTTGAAGCAGCCCGTACCTCTGCTTTCCCCCACCTATCCTCCCTTCACCGACCTCCCAACCTATCAGACATCCTTACAGAATCCCACACTTTCTGCATCAACAACCTGTTCTCTTTCCTCAAACGCATACATATCCTTTATCTAATCTAACACCCGACCTTAACCCTTTAACTCACCAATTCCTTTGCCCAGCTTAGACAACTAACCACTAACTCAAACACCTTTCACTAACATTAACTATAGTGCTACATGACCTTAGATGTCTAGCACATTTATCTTGCTTTTAACCATTAACCATTAACCATCTCTCAGCATTGGTAGGTAGAATTCCTTAGGTTATATAACTTTTCCCCATTATTCATTTTCAATTGGTTCTGTGTTGTAAACAAGAATATTTCCAAAACTTTATTCCAAATGATAGTGTTATGAGAAAGAAACTTTTACTTTAACAATTCCAAGTTCCTGGTGTGTTTCATTGGGATGCTATACCCCCCCCCCCCTCCCCAACCACTCAATCCCATGCTGTGGAGAGGCATAGAAGACGGAGACTGAAATCCAATGCTGGGGATTGCACGTACCTTTAGGCCTGTTAAATCAGGCGTACTCCAGGCTTACCATGGCCAGTAATGAAGATTTTGTACCTTTATCAAGTAACCCCATTGGTTTAAAATCCCCTGGTTCCCAGACCCCAGGCTCTCCTTTGACCACGATTCTGAACACTACTACTACCCCCTCCTCAATGCCTGCTGTCACCTTAGTACTGTCACCTACCCATGTCATTACTCAACCTTCAGAAAACTCCTCCTCCCCCAACATCCTCTACTTCATCTCCACCCCCACAGCTTTCTTCATCTACTACCCCCTCCTCCCTTATTACTACTCTGCAGCCTCCGTCTCCTAAACCCAGCTCTCCGCAGTACTACTTCACTCAGTACCACCCTCTCTTCCACAAGGCCCCGTCCTGCTATTACCCCCACCTCTATAAATCTTTTGAGTATTCCGTTTAGCCGAGCCAATTGGGATATATTTTTTTATCCCCTCTACGCCCCCTTATTTAGACATCAATACCTCCAAAAACAGGTAGGCAAAGTTTCCTTCTGCTCCCTTCCTGTCACAGTTACATCCAAATCACAAGCAAAGGCATTATCAATCCTAACTGGACTGCCCTGTCTACAAGAAGGATTGCTCAGTCTGTGGAGAAGGCTTACTCTCCTGCCTCACTGACAATGGTGCAGATGCTACACCATTCCTCCTAAGGGCCGCCGTAAGTCCTCCACCAATATGTCAATTTTACATTCCGTTAATATGACTCCCCCGTGATGTGAGAGTGTCTGCTGTCCGACCATATCAGGCCCCCTCCCTGGTCAATGTCAGAATTGTTGGCCTTCCTGCGAAACGTTGCCGCTCCACAACCCGATGCCCTTTATGTGCCCAACCCGGTTATGGCCGTTCTGCACAATTACGTGCTCCATATGTATTTTATAGGAGCTGATATGGCATTACTCAGATCCAAACTAGGCCAGGCAGGAAGCATGAAGTTTTACTCCAGTGCTGCCCTTCATTCCGCCGCCTCCCCTTCTCTCCAAAATGTTTCTACATCTCTCCCAGTAACTCCACCTCTACCCTTTCTTTCTCCCAATCAAATTCTAAATCTAGACACTCAAATCTTTACCACTCCCCTGGTGCCTACCCCTCCTCCTCATCTTTTCCTACTGCATCCTCTCCAACACTTATCTCTTCGCCTGCTCCTCAGACGTCTGTCCTCTATTCTCCTCATGACAACCTTTTTTTCTCAGACCTCCCCACCCAATTCCCTTTCAGATACTCTTAAGGGCATTCAAAATGCCTATCTCTCAACCACCCTCCAGTCTATTTGTTCCCATTCCCTCTAAACTCAAAGCAAATGTTGATACCCATCCTCCTCCTTCTCTTGCCCCCCCCCCCAATACTCCTTTTCCGTGTTTTATCAATGTATACAATATTTTTAAATCTATATAGTTTCGGTTGCAAACCATTTTTAATGAAATTTCCAGTAGTGAAAGTTTCCAAGATTTATCTTTACTGTGAACAATGGTGTGGTTACTAGAATCGATGAGTCCTCTTGCCAAGTAAAATCAACAAATAGCAGATTTAGGTTATGGAAGTTAAAACTATCATATACAGTATCAGAAGATAACTTATTACAAAATGTTTTTTTATTACCGGATGACAAGTGCGCCAAGATTTTAGATATATATATCTTAAATAAAATTAAAAATGATTTATATTTTAGCCTTGAACATCTTCAGGCCAACAAAAATGTGACACATGTAAGACAGACTCATGTGTTCTTTACCAGATGCGTGCGCATGCTCAAAAGATTATGAATTATATAATCTTATGAAGATATACATCATCACTTTAATTATGATGTTTGTATAATTGAATATGAAAGTAAGTGTAAATTCATGCGTCATTTCAATTATTATTTTAAAAGAGATATTTCCTAAACAAAGAAAGATATTCGAAGCTGAGGTCGCCAGACGAAGAAAAAATAGGATACAAAATTTTTTAGTGTAGACACGTTTTATGCTCACTTCGATAATTTATCACCGTTTAATTTGTAATTCTATGTTAGCAACTAACTACCTTTATTTATTACTTTATCCATAAAGCAATAAATAAAAGTAAAATTTAATTAATAATGTAATATAGTTCAATGATAACATGAGATTCGTCAACTTGAATACAATTTGTTAATGAAGAAGGGTTTAAGGCATATACATAGACATACACACATATATATGTATACGTATATTATATAAATACATACATTTACATATACACACGTACATTTACATGTACAGGCCTATGTGTGTATATATCAATATATATATATATAAATATATATATATATATATATATATATATATATATATATATATATATATATATGTATATATATATGTATATATATATGTATATATATATATATATATATATATATATATATATATATATTCATATATATATATATATATATATATATATATATATATATATATATATATATATATATATATATATACACCCCTGGGCAGCCACTGCTTTGATTGAATTTTGTCCTCGGGATTGTACTGGCGGGGCCATGTTTCATCCCGTCACAATTCTCAGCTAAAAAGCTTCAGAGTCCTCATCCCACTTGTTCAAAATTTCCATTATCTTGTTTGCTGCTGATCTGGAGCGCAACAGCCTAGGGACCCATCGATCAGAAAGCTTACTTAGCTCCACACTCTCCATCGAAATTTTGTGTGCAGAACCCACAGAGATGTTGAGTGTGTCTGCTACTGATTCAGTGCTTATTCGTCTATCCTTTTCAATCATGTCATGAACAGCATCACTGTTTTCCTCACAAACTAAAGTTGATGGCCACTCCGAAGCTCATCCTCAATTTCGTTTCTTCCACTTCTGAACCGTCTTATCCAACTTTTACTGGAGTGTCAATAATTTACGTATTCTCCCAACCGAGTTTCACCATGAACTTATTGTTTCTCCTGGTCTCGATTTTGGTGGATTCCATGTTGCTTGAATGGTGCCTGACTTCCAACTGGCGACGACGCATCTTTACCTGCATTTAAGGGTTCATGTTTGACTGCGTTACAACACGTTTTTACAAGAATGTATTGAAATCAAAATCCTTCCATATGATCTTTAGTTATGGATGTTTACAAGAAACCTATTGAAAGTTCAATTTTCCACATAAAATATTTTAAAATACAACACACACATACACAAGGTATGAAAGGAAGACATGAGAATATATATTTTTATTTCTTAGTTTACATGCTTTCCTCATCGCTTTTTACTGTAAATTTCGTTTGCTGTCGATAGGGATTGTTCCTTGTCTTTGCATCCCCTTCCCTGGCATATTTTAGATATTCAAAATTTCTTCATAACTCCATGCACTTGTCGTATTTCGGAGGCAAGCTGTTCTCTCGCAGTTGCTGGTCTTATCTGTATCCGAGGGCTTCTAGTGCCTAGTGTTGGTGGAGGCACAGCTGCTGTTATGGTAGGCTATATGTTATGGCCTGCAGTTGGGGAGAGAGGGGGAAACGAGTAACATCCTAAAAAAATATTTGTAAGGATTTGCGCTTCAGCTGGCTGTTACTATTACAAGGGTGGAGTCTACGGTGTTACACATAGAACAAATACTTTTTTTTTTACTGTTCTTCACTCCCTCTGTATTCTAGTACATACTACCCAGAGAAAAGTATTACAGTCTATTTATTTATATGCTCATGAATATGTGTATATATTTATGTACACACAAACACACACACACACACATATGTGTGTGTGTGTGTAATTTGCATGTTAGGAACCTATGTTAGTACATTAGTAGAGATGAAATCTCGGTGGAGTCAGAAGATGCTTGTACGTTTATATGTATATAACATTTATAAAAATGACGTTAAACAGTTAAGTTACACCTGACTGCGACCTGTACCCTAGACGTCAAGAGGTCTACTGTTACTACTATAACTTGTGTTTGTAATTTCTCGCCTCTTCACTTAAATGCTATTATTGTGTTTTTAAAATGTTTGTCGAAAAGTATTTTGGCTATACACATTTGCTGGGAGCACTATACATGAAATGAATCAAAGGGTAAATGACCTTTAGAAATAACCCATATCTTTCATCCAAATACAGTAAAGTAATACATATGTATAAACTTAAATGTATATAAGATATGATTCAGGTCAAAGGAAGTCATCACATTTTGCAGTTGGCAACAAGTATAGGATGTTTCCAAGCCTTTAAAGCCGCATTTACACCGGGAGCGAAGTTACGCGGCGGCGGACGGACTTATATATACTTTTGAGACGCTGATGATACACTGTAAAAAATCGCTTTTCGACCTTTTGGCAATGACCAAAGGGTAAAAAGTGTCACACTGGAAAAGGTGCCGCCCAACTCTGTTTTCAAACAAGTGTCACACCACTCAGTGGTTGCAGCCATGGGAGACAGTACTCAGTAGTTTATTAAGGAGGGAGAACTATTAATGCTAACTTTAGGAATAGATAATAAAAGGGAGAGGAAACGGGTGTACGAAATAAATTTGTCTAGGACGAAGTTTGGTGATTATTGTCTTACTATGTAATAGCTGGAGGATGAATAAAAAAATCAAACAATATTTCATATTATCTCCGTAGACGACTCACGGTCTGTGACGACCTGGGGATAGGGGCCCTAGAGATGCCCAGAACACCTAAGTTCACATGCATTAACGAGCCATGTGTAAGGAATCGCAACCGGTGTGAACATTCTTACCGAGGCGTTGGAAAGTCCACGCGGCATCGCCTTCATAGCGCAGCCTCGCCCCCGCGTGAATGCGCTGGAGGCTGCCTGCACGAACGCCGTCCCTTTCGAATGTAAACACTGGAGGCTGTCAAGAGGCAACTCTAGATCTTGGGACCAGAACCCTATGATAGAAGGGTACAGGTGAAGTTTGGACCACATAATAAGAAAGGAAACTCACAGTTAGTTAAATCTCATTACATTCACAGTGAGACAACGCGTCTGAATAAAGGATTTGGTAAAAAAGATGGATGCTGAGGAATCGTTCAAGGTGGAATGTAGCGACGAAGAAGTACAGAAAGAATTGACGAATGGAGTGTTTAGTAAGTCTGATTTTAATGAAAGTAAAGTAAAAGTCAATCTAAGATTTCAGGTCTTTCATAATATGATGTTAATTTACTTTGTTGGGTAATCTCTACAGTAGGGACACACTAAGTAGGACAAATTGAAAATGATATTCTCGTTGAGGACAAAAAGTTACAGTTGTCGGTACAAGAAATAATCTGTAGAGACGAAAGATAATGCCACAAATAGCGGGAAAAGTTTGCAGAAAGCATCACTTAACAGCTGAGGTGAAGAAAGTAATTCCTGGGGGGTGTTGGGGGGCAGTGGGCACACCCAGTTGCGGCAACTTAGATTGTTGAATGAATTTTGTGACGTAGGGTTGGTGACTAACTGTGTCTGTATTTTAAAGACTTTACGTTTGTGGTTAGACATTTCACAGTGTTATATTGGTTATTCATCTGACCATTTTAGTTTTTTTTTTTTTGGTATAGTTTCAATTTCCCAGGGCCAGGAATAGGTTAAGTTTTGACTAGCCATATAGTACAAGGTAATTTGTGGCTGTAATGGACAGAATAAATGTAGATAAGACACTTTTCATCTTTGGTACTACCTTTGCAAGTTGATAACAGGAGAGTTCTGCAACACATAATATTTACAGGAAAATGTAATGGTACTATAATAATCAAAGAGAAAAACTGCACTCACTAACACATCAAATAATCAGTGTAGGCAAAAAATAACTTCAGAAAGGAAGAAAATAAATTGCAACAAATCCTGTGTGCTGAGTAAGTCCATGGTGATTGGTTGGGGTCTTGGAGGGGTATCATTTGCAATGGAAAATAATGAGATTCACAAATATTTGAAAGAAGGAATGATAATTGCAGGATTGGATGACTGTGTGAAACTAAGAAATTACTTTTTTTTGTTTGTTTGTTTCATACAGCCATCCAACCTTGCTGTTATTGTACCTTGTTTCAATTCATGGTGTAGTATGCATGAATCTATTATTTTCCATTTTAAATAATGTAAGTGCAACCAGTGATAATTACCTATGAAGTGACTGTACATCATTCTCAGGTCTAGCCCCTATTACTCTAGCAACTCCAGGGAATCCATAAACTTTGCCACATGTACCAAAAACCTTCTTAACCCAAGGGCTTTGTCCCTAGACCTCCACCTGATCACTGTATTTCCCAAGGTTCTTTGAAACAGGGAGCTAGTTGGCAACTTCTGAGTAAGGCCCTGCCTCTTTGCCTTTATTGCAAATATTAAATATTTTTTCTTTCTTTTTTTTTTGGCTTTCATTTCTGTATATTTTTCTAACATTGTTATTACTGGTTTATTTTCAAAGAAAATGCACTGAAAAACACTTATCATAAAATATTATACAGGTTGACCAGGTGTGAGATATCAGATGTAGTTAGAGACATAATTATATATGTAACTTACTTGATAAAATTACCAGAGGCAAAACAAAAGATCTCCACTATTATTAATGATAACAAAAAGTTTCTTACTACCAACAGCCGGGAAAAAGTCAATTTCATTTTTGGGTTCCACAGGCTAAGTGGAAATGGAGGTGCTTGGTTATATGCGCCTTGGTATTTCCCTTTCAGGAGCTCTGTCCCTGAACCCCCACCTAATCACTGTGGACTTACTATCCCTACAGCATTTGTTGCAATCAATTTTCATAATAGCTGACAATATTCTTAGTTAGCATGGACTGTTTCAGGTATCACTCAGTGTAGTTTTCCCTTTCTTTTTGATAGCATCATTAGATTTTTTCTATAAATGTATACTAAAGCATCATGTGTTGCACTACTTTCTTATATTAGAAGAGAAGTGTTGTAATTTCTGTTGTTCTATCCATTATAGTCAAAATTTACTTTGTATCATATGGCTGTGTGAACTTGACGCTGTACCTTTTTGTTACACCATTGGTGTTTCAAGGTGGAAAAGGTGCTTTATATAAAGGATTTTGAAGTGCCTCTAACAAGTTTGATTGCCATTAATATGGTTGATAACCCATTTCCATGTTATGGCCCCTCCTCTCGGAGAGTTTATATCAGAAAAAGGCATTTTCTTATCTATGGAATTCATATAGGTCATAGCTGTGCAAGTGGGCATATATTTACTGAGACTCGTAACCCAATAGTAGGCTTTCTTTTACTATATTTTATTTGTGTTTTGTGATCAGTACTTCACTTGTTCTCTATTTTCATGTATTCCTCTTCTGGATAACTACTCTTCAGGAAACTTATTGCAGTGTATTTTATAACAGATTAGGACATTTTTGTCACAGGAAGTAATATTCCTCAATCATTAGGTTGGTAAATGAATAAAAATTCAGTGCTGATTTGGTACAAGTGTGATAGTACAGTGACATGGTACAGTTCTTATTATGTAACTAAACAATAAGTGTTTACTACATGTAAAATGATGCATTGGTTGCTAAGTAAATAATCATAATAGTGTTTAATACATGAATATTTGGTATTTCAGTTGAACCAAGCGCCACAGAAATTGTACGCTTATATGAAGCCCTAGCCAAGGATGGGTCATTGCCCATAAAATGGAACTGGGAACTAGGGAGACGGCCCCTTACTCCCTCACAAGATGATTCTGAAAGTGACAGAGAAGAGGAGGCAGAAAAGTATGTAATAAATGGATGATGAAGTAGATTGATATTATGTTGCTAGTCATGTCAGGCAGATGAGTGGATGTCTATGTTCATTGATTTTAATATTTAGTATTTTCTTTCTCAGAATTGACACATCAGGATTCGATTTCGACGATGAACCAGCAACAGTGCGTCTAACCCCTCGACGCACACCTGGCAGTGTTGGCCCAAAAGGCAGTGCCAAGAAAAAGACGACCAATTTTGAAAATGTGTTAGCCAGTGTGAGAAGACAGAAGAAACTTGAACTTAGGGAGAAAACGAGATTCAGAAAAGAGAAGAAATAGAAATAAAGAAAACTTATTTTATTGTGATTTTTTTTTTTTTACTCAAAACTTTTGATAAGTGTAACTGCATTGTAAAAAAAGGAAAAAAAAAATAAATACTAAAAATGTCAACATCAGTATGGTAAATGTGTTGATGTATTGATATTCAAAATGCAAATTAAAGACTGTTGTTGAAAGAATCTGAAAATTTTTAAAATGGTATGGATGGTGAATTATTGTGGAAGTACCTGGTAATTTTTTACTATAATTACAGATTTTGTAATTTGATTCCATGTACAGGTAATCATAGTTTATGTACCTATGACTTGTACTATGAAAAAAAAGGTAATAAAACATATTATGTAATTGAAATATATTTATTACATTTAGGGAAATACCCCCCTAATCCCTTGCTCGTTGTTGTCATGGAGGGGCTTCGGAGATGGAAACTGGAGCCCAACGTAGGGGATCACCCATACCTTGGACCACAGCCATCACCTCAACTAAATTTGCATAGTCTTTTCTTCCCCTTTCCTTTCCTTCTATTCTTCATTATCCCTTTCTTCTGTCCACTTCTGAAGGTTTGCGAGCTGGCATTGTGTCAATTATGAGTGACCTCTGGGAGCCATGGGCACGATATTTCCTTGGGTCTTACCCCTCATGGGTCCCCATGAGGGGTCATTACTCAACCTTCAGAATACACTCCTTCCTTTCTCCCAACATCCTCTACTCCATCTTGTACTACACAGTCTTTGTCTACCCACACGCCCCTTATTACTACTTTTCATCCTTACTGTCCTCCTCCTAACAGTACTACCTCTCTCCATACCACTCCATCTTCCTCCCACTTATACAAACCTCACTCCTCCCTGAATACTTGTACCGGAACTGTTTCCATTTCTCCGACCAACTGTCCTGTCTATGACAAGGACTAGTCAGATTGTGAAAATGACCTGCTTGCATGCCTCGTTGACTGTGATGCAGTGGCAGTCCCAGTGCTACACTATTCCTCCCAGAGGCTAATAGAAGTCTTACACCAATATTGAAAAGATTAGCTTCCGTAGACATAACCTCCCCCGTAGAGTTTATATGGGTGGTTTGTCCTGCCTTGTCTGACCATATCGACCTCTTCCACATCAGTGTCAGAAATGTTGCTGTTTTGGCCAGCCAGCCAAACACTGTCACTCCACAGCCCACTGCCCTTTAGGTACCCAACCTGGTAATGACCGTTCAAATTGCTCTGCTCAGTCATGCACATATGCCAATTCTGTTGGCTCCCATTTGATAGTTTCATAATAGTTCTTTTGCAGGTTTGTGTTACTCTCCCTTCCTTAGTCACATACTCTCAGTTTGATCTGATCGCCTTATACCCTTAACCACATCCTCTTTTACGAATCCCAACTTTATTCTATTTACTCCCCCTCTATACCCTTTTCACTAACATTCTATCCTACAAGGGTCTACAACCTTTGACATCTAACACATCTTATCCTGATCATAAACTCATTTCCAGTCTCTTTGCCACAATATTTTTTGACCTTTGGTGTCTAGCACATTTATATCTTCTAACCATTAACCATTTTAAGGAAATGAAAGCAAAACAAAGTTGTTTTGAAATGTCAGGTATTTTATTTAGAAAAAAAAAAAAAAATCTTATAAAAAGGAAAGATTGGCCTAAGGACCTATAATTTCTTACATTACATGATTTTCTTTTAATAATTTCCAGTATTTTGGAAAATTATATGTAAATAACTTTTTTGTCATCTACAATACACTGAAATTTATGCAATTAATATAGGTCTTGCTCTGAAGACTGTTCCATCACTTTCCTGAGCCCAATTTTTCAAGTAAAAAACATTAGTATGCACACTTTTCCTTAGTTTTAAAATGACTGTCAAGTTTTGTGACCAGTGACATTTTTTCTAACAAACAGTAAATAATAAATGAAATTCAATAAATAATAATATGAAAATCAACAGTCTAAAACAGTGATTCCCAACTGGTGAGCTGTGACTCCCAAGGGGGACATGAAGAGTTAGCATAGCTTTGTTGGCCAATTTGTTAGGTTTGTCAATTTTTATATCTTCATGAAAATTAATAAATTAAAAAAAATACAATTAGTAAATATAATTAGTATTTATTGCTGAATATTTGATTTTTTTGGCTTAAATCTTAGAGTTGGAAAATTATAAGATGAAACGGCTGTTGTAGGGGATGGGAGTCTAAGGCATATTGGATGTTTGAAAAAGGAGTTACGAGTGTAAAAAGGCCGCAAACCACTAGTTTGACAGGACTTTCGTATAGGATTGATATCATAGATTTATCATCACTTATTATGCATACATTTGTATATTGTCATCATAATGAAGAGCTTAAGAGAAAATAAAACTAAAAACATATGTGGGCATCTTAGAAACATTAATTGCCAGTTGTATCATAGCTTTGATGGTTACCAGTGATGAATGTGAAGTAAATTCTGGTAATTGAGATAAAGATTCTTGGTTTTGCAAATATCTCAGTACATGTAGCTGTAAAATTCTTATCTTCACATTGCAAGATATGTATTTGGCCGTTTCATAAATGGTCAAATACATCTCTGTGAAGATAATCCATCTCATTCATCCCTTTTCTTACATTTTATATCAAATTTATATGCAAATATTCTTGAAGCTTTACTGATCTAGATGGTGAAAGAAGCACTATTATTGCAAAATGGTGCATTATGTATATTTACCCTTTACTGATAACAATTTCTGAGTTGAGGATAATATCACCTGTAAAATCAGTAAACACCACCATCAACTTTCCAAAGTAATCTTTTTGAGGTTAAACCATGTAATGAGTAAGAATTCCTCAACGTGAAAGGAGAAAAAAAGTTTACAATAAAACTATATTTATTGTTTCAAAATGCAAATATTATTTACATGATAATTTCCCTATTACTAGTTGCATTGATATCTCGATATATGTTATCTGTATATGTTATAAATCTCCTTAAATGACTATCAAAAAACATGCACCGGGTATAAACTACACATCAAAACTTGACAGAAAGATTCAACTTATTATTTGCCAGAAAAAGATAAATGAATAGAAGACTAATGAATTCAAAATCTTAAAATCTTAATAAAAAGTCTCCTATTACAGCCAAGCATGATTTAGTTGATTTTCCTGCCATGCCTCTAGACCTCTCCCTGGTTGTCTCCCTCATTGTAACCGACCCAGTCCCTTGCGATGGGTGCAGACAGCATTGGCTCGGAGATGGCAAAGGCGTCGCACAGAGTCAGGGCATGGGGGGCAATTTCCTTGCACAAGTTCTGGGATACCGTTGTTGCCTGAAAGCAGATTTATTTTTGTGTTAGTATCAAGATTTAGAATATGTTTTTGGTACGAGTATGATAAGCAGGTTCTATCACATCATCCTATTTCCTGTTAGGCATTTTTACAGCTTTATTTACTGGAAAGGAACTTTTTGGAGAAAGGATACATTAGCATGAACATAAGTCTAAATTTGGACTTCTCTCCTAAGCACCTACCACCTAAATTTTGTTGTAAAATAAGCAAAATAATCAAATCTATGGATAAAAATACCAGAAGGTAGCAGCTTTAATAACAAGCTTGATCACTCATTTGACTGCCTATGTGTAGCAAGGATATTTAGTATACAAACCAAAAAATAACCTAATAACCCATGATTTTGAACCTGTATTTATACTAGTACCATCACATCCAACGACACAGGTTCTTGCAACATGTGTTCTTTTCTCTTAATAGATTGAATTACACTCCTCATTGCTTTTGATGGGTGGTGGTACATGGCCAAGATGCATAGATTTTGGTTCACACTTAAAGGCCACAGTAATAATGTTCCCACGAAAGGCACTTACTTTTAATTTAAGAGTATGAACCATATTAACAGATTTCAAGATATCATATATGAATATTAAAGGCTGATGTCTAACAATTCTCTTTAGACAAAAATTTTGTTCATTTTAACAGGAACATCTAACTGAAGGATACTCCGCAGGAAAGACCAAATTCAGGCTTAACCCCTTAGATCCGGTTGCATCACGGAAATCACATGACCCAAAACCCAGGCATTAGACTTTCACAAGTGGCCGCTCTGCTGGGTGCGTGGCTTGTAGGCCGGGTGCATGTGAATAATGCAAAATTGCCAAATGAGTCTAATCACCTTCCCAAGAGGTCTGTGCATTCATGGCGAGTCTTTCTCATCACCCTGGCCTTCAGCCAGAACACTTACAATGGCAAGTTCGCATCACCAGGCCTGCAGCCAGATTTTCCATGACAGCATGTTCATGCCACCCCCACCTCAAGCCAAATTTTTTCACATGATGGTCACCTCATCTTGATTGTAGAGGTTAATATGTTAACACTTTTTTTTTTTCTTTTTTTTTTTTTTTTTCAATGTAATGCAACTTTTCCCCTAATGCCATTTTAATAATAAAAACAAACAAACTTGTATATGAATCACAGGCATAATCACAGGTATTCTTTAAAAGTAACAAAAAACTATTTGTCTAGCTGAGAAAGAAGAAAAAAAGAAAGAAAAAGAAAAAAAAAAATCAAAGAATTATTATGTAAAGAAAAGTTAAGAAAAAATACCTTAGCAGCAACATCAGGAGTTATAATTCCATTGGATATGAAGACACCCAAGTTCTTTTCCACAATGTCGACCAGATACAGGTGGTGCATCTTAAAAAAAAAAAAAAAGAATTATTATGTAAAGAAAAGTTAAGAAAAAATACCTTAGCAGCAACATCAGGAGTTATAATTCCATTGGATATGAAGACACCCAAGTTCTTTTCCACAATGTCAACTAGATACAGGTGGTGCATCTTGGTCAAAATAGGCTTCAGACTTTCCTCACAGGTTTTAATAACCTCACCAAACTGAAAACAAAGATTCAGAATTATGTTATATTGCAAGTCCTTCCATTGTCAAATTAATTATTCTGATAATCCAGACAATAACAATTTTCAGTAAACTTCAACATTTCTGATTTTTTTAGTACTAATTCGTAAACTGTAATGATAAAAAAATGAGCAAAGCTAATATTTTTTTCTGCTTGTTTTTTGTTTGTTTACCTGATCAGAGATGAGCCTCTCTCCAAAAGCCCTGGCAGCAGCTTGCACCAAGTCTGACTCCTGCATCATCCATGTATCAAAGAGGCCAGCCTTTCCAGCAGCCATCAGTTTCTTGCCAAGAGTCTGTACCAGTGTTAATTTTCTTTAGTTAACTTTAAGATTAAATGGCAATACATACACATATGTTAAAAAAATTGTCAACTATTCACTGATGTAATATCATCTAAATAATCAACTGCTGATGTACAGATCATGTGAATATATCTAAAGGATGCAGTAGCATTTGCTACTCTGCCTTTTGCATTTTTTACCTTCAGATTAACATCAACACCAACTGAACTCTCAACAGAAAGCATACGGACATTCCTATAAAAAATGATATACAGTATAGTTAAAATAACTAGTGCTAAAATCCCCAAACTGCATAATCTTGCCTGTCTTCTCCTTTCTATTACGAAATATTCAAGGGAGATGATCTGAAATCTTTCCTTATATGAAACCAGAAATTCTCCAAAGATATTACCATGAAAAGCTGGTTCTCTCTTCGGTTGAGTAGGTCATGCAGATACTCAATGTTGGCAGGATTTTCTGGGAGATCTGGGTTCATTGGCAGTGGCTTGAATGCAGCCAGCCTCTCCTTTGCTACCTTCTGCATCAACACACAGTTGTCTCCCTCAGCTGTCATGGCAGCATGGGCCAAGCCAATGAAAGTTCCAAACCTAGAATATATGGAGAGAGAAAGAATGCAATATTTCATCCTATGGAGAGCAACTGTGCAGAGGAGGAAGATGACAGGGAAGGGAGCAAAAAGATAAGGGGTAAGAAGAGAATGAAGGAAGGAGGAAGAGAGACTGTTCTTTCCCTCCTAAGGACTACTGAGTCCAGAATTTACAGCATATGTGAAATACTTTTCCTGTACCAGTACTTGAAAATGAGATGAAGATCATGCTTCTACAACTCACAAGAATAAAAAACACTCACCTGTTACAAGATAGATATCCTTGGCCTCCACAGCGCTCTCGGCTAACAGATACAACTTCCTCTAGGTTCCAGGATGCTAGAGGCTTGATGACACAGCACATGGTAACCACCTCTGGGTGCTCAGAGCCATCAGGTGACTGGAAGGCCCAGCGTCTCTGTAATGGAAGTATCAATCAATAATTGTCATTTTTATTCTTATTTTCATTTTTCAAAAAACTAAAGTCTTTGCTGATTGTTGTCCCCTTTAACCTGACAATCTAAATATCAAAATAAGGTAAAAAAAATTACCTCTGGACTGCTCCCTCTAGATAAGATAATTAATAAACTCTTCCCACTAAATCTTATCTTCATACTCACCTTCACATAGTCGAGTCCAAAGTTCACTGCATAAGTCCTGGCCAAGAGTGGTATCAGGGCACGCTGCTGCAACTGGTACTGCAGTATAGACATGTCAGACTTCCCCTTTGGTCCTGTAAGTGTCATTATTGAGAAAATATTAAAGGGCTTGTCAGATCAATCAAAGGAAGTTTTAGCTTGACATGAATTTAACCCACTAATAATGGGAAACATAATTTACCTCAACCTCTTTGCTTTAGACTTTGACATTGTTCTTTTAGTAACAAGGGTAAAATATAATTCTAAGCCTACTGTGAGGCTCAGTGACCAAATACCTAGGCAAACAAGTGAACAACAATTTAGCATGAAGAACTTCGAGCAGGCTTGAGCTTGCATGACGTGCGTACTCGTCACCCAACATTTGGCCTGGTTCACCATGACGTGTGTGTGAATTAAATATTATGGATAGTAAATCTTAAAAGCAAACCTGCATATTGATATTTTTTAATGTAACTGTCTGTGAATTCTGATGTTATAGCAGTCAGTCTGCACCCAACTGGGAATTTCATCTTAGTTGACTTTGTGTAACCACAGCAGCTGTCTCCAAGAATCAGAGAAGACAAAAAGAGAAAAAATCCATCTTCGTAGCAAGATAGGGAAAATCTTACTATCAAATCACTAGTCAGCAGAACCCACATGAAGAGAAGGGAATCGATATACCAGAGTATTTCTTATCCATCCTATGCCTCATTTCCTGATTACTTGGGGTCTAATGCAAAGCTAGTAAAAAGCAGAAAAAGACAGGAAGGATCCGAACATGGAAGTAAACAAAAGCACAAGCAAATACAATAATAGGAAGAAACAAAAATATCATATGTAGCCCCGGAAAATATAAGGTAAGCATCTCAAAAGAAACTGGTAGCTTGCCATAGTCTGTTTATCAGGAAAGTAACACAAGAAGAAGAAAACAGCTCAGAAGAAGCACCTGAGGAGACAAGGCTGAGCTGGAGCCACAGTTATCAAAAGGGGATAACCTAGATGTTGAGCAAGGTTACAGCACACAAAATATGCATGAGGTGCTCAGAAATTCTGGAGAGTGAATCATATTAGGAGCACAACCATAAAAATGTACATCATCACGTAAGAAACAGTGTAAGCAAGTTGACTAATTTACTGATAAGCTATATACTAATCCTACACCATCTCCAAGACCAGAACACAAGCTGTGTATATTGCTCCTCAGTTGACATGTTACAACCTGGGCAGTCTCACATGGAATTACATAGTGCTCAGATCTTACAAAGACTGCATGATTATCAAAGAATCAGAAAATGAAAGTAGCCTATAAGAAATAAGTAGCTACAGTAGTCTGATAAACATGAGAGTCCGGAAACTGTTCTTGTACAATTCAAGGTACCCCCTTCAACTGGACAGCTTATACTAACATACAGAATGGAAAAACAGTAATCAAGGAAAACACTTACAGGGACACACTACTTGTCTATCAATGCCATATGGGAACTAATTCACATTCATTGAAACATTATACATACATACATATATACATAGATACACAAAAATATGAATATTCCTCGTTGGGAATGTCCCACATACCAACAGTGAGCCTAGATGCTGAATAGCGCAGAGCAATGGCAAGGGAAGCCTTTGCACCTCCCATGGACATACTGGCAATACAGATGCGACCTGACAAAAGCTGGTCAGCTACTGTCAGGAACCGTGCTCGTGAACTTGGAGAAAAAGAAATTAAATCAGTTTCTAAAGCTGGTCAATATTATGTACAAATAAATGTGAACTGAAAAATCACAATGTCACTCCTCCACATCAAAAAGTAAAAAGAAAAAAACAAAAACAACTGTATCTTTTCTTAAACATTATGACTTCCACTTATATAAAATGCAAACTGATATAGCATGTTCTTAACTTTCTTATCCCTGTTTGTAAAGCACTAATCAAGTACTATGTTCCCAACCTCCTCCTCCTTGCTAGAAATGTCACGACTTCCTCTCATAAAGTGTGAAAATTAACCAGATGCCGCCGGGGATGGAATGTATGGACATGCTATGCCCACAGTGATTGGGCATAGGATACTATAGCATATCACGATCTTTGGAAATAGCTAATTGCATTTTATATTGTTAAAGTAGAATGTCAATAATAATAAGAGAATCAATATTAATACCATTAAGAGAGAGGGAGAGGGAGAGGGAAAGAGAAACACAGGGACAAACACACACGCATATCAAGTACCTTTTGATTTTGGAGACAAATTCTCCCTCCTCATTTACGTCGCTGAATCTGTTCAGCAGATTTTCTCTTGGCACCCTAACATTGTCAAACACCAACTTGGCATTGTCCACACCATTCAGGCCCATCTTGTACCCCATGTCCTCCACACGCACTTTAGGCATCACCTAAAAACAAAAAACGAACAAATACACAGACCTTTGTATTAAATCTTTGTTTAAAGGTATTGTACCTGATTTCACAAATGTTGAATAAACTGTTGACAATACACCAGGAATTAATACATACACCAGGAATTAATACAAAAGTTAAAGCAGAGATGATACTTTTCAGAATCACACAATTTATCTTGCCTTTCTAAAAAATCTCTTTGGCATGTTGGGGTTTCCTTCCCTCATCGGCAAAGGATATAAAAAAGGAGCACAATCTCTTGCACATACCTTCAAGTCATTGTCTCGGATCTGAACGAGAATGCCATGAATGCCATGGTTGGTTCCCCCCATAATCAGCTGGGCAAAGACAACCACGTGCTTAGCATGGACGGCTCCATTTGTGATCCAGTACTTCTGTGCCAAGGGGTGAGGTGTGTTTACAATGAATTCATCTGTTGGTACAAAGAGAAAAACATTAGGGAGGAAGATTGTGTTGGAGAGAGAATAAAAAACAGACATGCAAGTATGCATACATGCATGTACACCACACACACTCAAGAGGAGAGAAAGTAACAGAAATGGCTAAACAGTGAAAAAGGAATGATTTACATGTTAAAAACTATCCCTAATTAAGTTAGAATGAGTACAATTAATTCTTTTATTAACTGACTTAGCACAAGTGTAGCCATATGTGTAAAAACAATAAAGTAAACTCACAGTGGGCATGGCATGCACACACACGCGCACACGCACACGCACACGCACACGCACACAAAAGACAGAGAGAGTAAGAGAAAATAAAAGAAGGAACTCTTCTTTCTTCTCAACTCACCTGTTTCCTTGTCGTAAACTGCTGTTGTTTCCATCTCGACAGCATTGTTGCCGTAGCCCAACTCAGTAAGGCCAAAGCATCCAATGTCGTTCAAGTTGTCAATGCCCTCCAAGAGTTTCTCATGGTGCCTCTCTGTGCCAAGCTTCAGGACTGTTCCGCCAAACAAGTTGAACTAGGAGAGAGAATCAAAACTATGGAAGTTTAAAAGAGTTAAATGATTTACGGGGATAATGGTACTAATATTGAAAAAGGTAGTGATAATGATGATGATAGTTCTGGTGCTGATATTGAGTAAAAACAATCATATGCATATCTACAACTGACAGCAAAGCACAGCAGAGCATATAGTCTATGACAATGCCAATGGTAAAGTGGGTTGAAAGAGTTTGGGTTTCTTGAAGTGCAGAATTATGTAATATGAAACCAAACAACTTTAAGGCCTGTGGCATGTGAGGGAATATGGGAACAATGGGGCACAAGGGCCATGGTAATATCTGGTCACTCACATTTAGTTCACATTAACATCAAATTACTTTGCCTTGAAAATATAATCCAAAAGAGCATGTTTTTTTTTCCACACCTTCCACAAAACTTTGATGACAAAAGAATGAAATGACAAACAATAATGTACAGGGAAAAGTTTACGAAATAGGTGTAAACAAATGGAAAAAGACAAGTTTACTATTTTGAATATATAACAAGAAAAAGAAAAAGACCCAGCATGATACCTGCACAGTCATCTTGGTTGTCATGGCAGGGTCGATAATGGCAGCCAACTCATGAGCAGCGAAGATCCGTAGTGGGTTAGTACGGAAGTCCAGCACGGAGATGAACTTGTTGTCGCAAATGCGCTGGAGGCGAGCCAGGGCCACATCACGCTCCTCATGCAGCGGAATATTGTAGCGGGGGACCATGACTGGGTCACTCATGAACTCTCTGGAAGTATCATCATCATTCTTCATAAGATATAAACAACTAAAGAAAAAAAAACAGTACAACTGGCTTTTATAGCAGCTCTTTCAAACATCATCAACAATTGGTATCATCATCAACCATACCTAAACTTGGCTCTCATTTCATGGTTGTCATGATCCAAGAGTGCGGTCATTGCTTCCACATTAAATTCAACACTGGTCTGAGCCATCCGCAGGTCCTGAGTGGGAAACCGGTTGTTCAGCTCCACATTCTTCTGTACTGCTGTGGCTGGTGCTGCTGCTGAGGACTGCCATCTCTGCAGCCCAGCAAACCTTAAATAAAAGAGCATGGTAAAATGAATAACAGGAATATGAAGTTGTATATTTCTTTCCTGTGATAACTACAGATTTTTAGTTTCTTCTTCAATTGACTGCTTTTTCCATCACTTGACATTTAAATTCAAACAGTCATACACTCTAGTAAACATAAATACTTACACCATACACAAACAAACAAATGCAGAGAGAGAAGAAAGAGAGACAGACAGAGACAGAGAGAGAAAAAGAAAGAGAGAAAAAGAAAGAGATAGAATTCTTAGCTTCCCCACCTTCCAGAAACCCTGCAGTCAAATTATGTAAATATTCACAGTGCATGATATATTCTCAAATTCAGAGGGAGTATTTTTTCCCATTATTTACAACATTGCAAACACCATCACCTTACCATTGTAACTTTTGAAGCAATAATCACTGAAAAAAGTACCTGCTATGCACTCAAAATAATGTAAAAAATGCAATATAACAGGGAATATTGCCTCTTCTCTATATGCTCATCTAAAGGAAACAGTATAAACATGCACACACGCACACATGCACAGACACACACACACTCTCTCTTACAAGAATATTTGTATACACTCACACCCATACATGCCTGCATATACAAGTGTGCAAGCATACATACATACATACACACGTACAATTTTTTTAATATAAAAATTATGTAACATACCTTGAAGTAACGAGGTGCTGTGGACTAGCAGCTAAACGAGGCAAGCGGGCAAGAGGAGCACATCTCAAGCGGTTCATTGTGACTTTCCTGACAAGTAGAGTAAGAGAAAGAATAGAAAATTCAAACAGACAATGTTATTAAAATTTTGTGACACTCTGATTAATGATACAATATTCGACTGATATATTTCCCTCCTTGTTTTCCCAAAGATGTGCTATGTTTTGTTCATAATCACAAATAATTTGAATTTAATGGATTTCTTTGCTTTCATGTTTCCATTTGTTGTTTAACTCTTAAGTGATGGCTTGAAGGAACTGGAGCTACACCATGAATATTCTGTGAAAATATAAGAAACCTCAATCTATCTATTCTATTTTTGCTAATAATTATGAAAGAGGCAGAACAAATGCAGAGCTAAAATGGAAAAAGTTAGTTACTTTGTTTCAGTTTAATCGCATGAGAATCAGCCTTACAAATGAAACAGTATAGGGAATCAATAATACAATAAAACAATAGATATTATATCTGTGCATTCTCTGCATTAGCAAAGGCCAACTAACCTCCACTGAATATACTTTTCAAGAAGGATAAAGCTTTGAATAATTCCCTATTTGACCATAAAGAGCCAGGAAAATTAATACACTCTACATTGCTCAAGATCAAACAATTTACACTGTGACATCACTACTGTAATCTAAAGCAATAAAGTACCATTCATACCCAGTGGCCTTGCAATCCCCAATATAACACACAAACATAATACGCAAAAAAAAAAAAAAAAAATGATGAACATGACCTGGATATCTGTTTTAACATGACAAAAGATACAAATAATTAGCATGGTTATCCTTCCTCATGACCTCTACTTACACTACCCCGCTCGTACACTGATAACAATCCTAAAAAAAACACTATATCACCAACACACAAATTCCTTCCTCTCGTTACAAAACCTTTCGTACTTACTTAACTCCATCAAAAGTTTCTCTTACGCAACCAAACCTATCCCCACATCGTATTAAAGTCTTCACTACGACCACAGACTTCATCAAAAACACCTAAATGACCTTAAAATCACATGAAAAAGGTAAAAAACCTCACCGGAAAAGAAGCAGAGGAGCAGAACTTGTTTACTTTCCGAAGTCCGTCGTTCCTCTGACGTCGAAACAGCTGAGAGAAAGTACGTGATCTTTTATAATAATTAATCCGGCTTTTATCATATCTATAAAAACATTGCCGCTGATAATTTTTTTTTTATCTGGGAAACTTGGGTTTTTGAAGGGTTATCAGTTAATCTGTTTATTTTCAGTACTGAAGTTTATATTTCATATCACTTTTGTACTCGAGATGAAAGGTAAACTATTTTAAACAAGAGGTTGAGGAGGAGGAGGAGGAGGAGGAGGAGGAGGAGGAGGAGGAGGAGGAGGAGGAGGAAGAAGAAGAAGAAGAAGAAGAAGAAGAAGAAGAAGAAGAAGAAGAAGAAGAAGAAGAAGAAGAAGAAGAAGAAGAAGAAGAAGAAGAAGAAGAAGAGGAGGAGGAGGAGGAAGAAGAAGAAGAAGAAGAGAAGGAAGATGAGGAAGAGGAGAAGGAAGATGAGGAAGAGGAAGAGGAAGAGGAGGAGGAGGAAAAGTAACAATAGGAGGAAGTGATGAAGAAATAAAAGGGGGGAGGAGGAGGAGTTTTAGTAGAGAGAGTAGGAGGGAGAGGAGAAGCAGGAAGAGTAAGGGAGGATATATACATACATATCATAAACCTGAGTCAATCCGCTGCAGGACGTAGGTCTCTCCCAATCTTTTCCAACTTTGTCTGTCATGCGTTTTTGCTTCCAGTCTTGGCCCCCAAATTTCGTTATATCATTGCGCCATCTTTTCATAGGTCTGGTCTTTGGCCTCTTTATGTTATATAAAACCCAGTCTGTTAGTTTCTTTGTCCATCTGTTGTCCTGTCTCCGACATATATGACCTGCCGATTGCCATTTTTTTCTTTTTGATGCTCCCGAGTATATCTTCACACACACACACACACGCACATACACACACACACACACACACACACATACACATACACGCACACACACAAACACACACACACACACACACACATTGTGTGTATATATTTATATATATATATATATATATATATATATATATATATATATATATATATATATATATATACATATAGTATATATACACATGATATAATTATATATATATATATATATATATATATATATATATATATATATATATATATATATATATATATATATACACACACACACATATGTAAATGCACGCGTTTGTGTGTTTATGCCAAGAAAAAAATTATATATATATATATATATATATATATATATATATATATATATATATATATATATATATGTAGAACCAGCTTCAGACGTTCGTAGGCCCTGGACACTTTTCTTTTGTAGGCCTTATTTAACCTTATGTCCTTATAGTCCCTGGCTTTGTCCATAAGAAAGTTTGCAGAAAAAAAGCTGCAGGTTGTTAACATTTATGTACATTATTAACATAATGAGTTCATCAGATGCAGCGTACAGAACCATGTGTTTATACCTAGATTTTCTTCCTTCTGTTTTTCAGATAATTTTATGGACAGTGTTACACCCTGAAGCTCTGATGCAAAATGGCTGGTGGCTATAAAAGAATTCACGAGTCAGGTCACAGCATAGGATAAAAGAAGGAAGAGAAGGAGGAAGCAGCACAGAAAATGAGGGGTTCTGTATTGAAATACGTTAAAAACTTATAAGTCTGAGCTATGTAAACCTGGGACGTCAACAGAACATACTAGTGATATAAGTGGAAACAACTCTCAAGCTGTTAAACAGGTCAGCGATTCAAACGAGCAATTTTTAGAAAATAGAAATGATAGTACGCAGTCTGTATCTCCAACAGACTTGCTCTGTTTCCTCAGAACTGAAGCATAGTTATGATAAAGATCCAGCTTGTTGGACTGTAACTGCTGGTTTGAAGGAACACATTTCTAATCATGGCCCATTACAGTTAAAAAATCAGACTATGGTGGCATATAGAGACGGCGAATGACGAAACTGTAACTAGAGACTGGATGATTTATTCAGAATCTAACGGAAAGATTTTTTGCTATGGCTGTAAGGTATTTAGTCAACATGCCATAGAGATAGAGTAGAATATGTTCTCATAAAATGTCACATGATCGTATAGCGACTCTCTCTCTGTGCTATGTTGAGTTTTCAAAGCACCAGGCCAATAGATGCTAAGCTTCTAGAGGAGCGTGAAAAATAACGATTCTGGGTGGAGGTACTGAGACGACTTGTTTCTGTAATAAAATTTCTTTATGAACGAGTTCTTCCTCGAATAGAAACGTTTATTCCTATCACTGACAAATTACGAGTTGAAACGAGAAAACGACGTGCAGTATACGAAATGCTGAATGAACGATTTCCTGATTGACTTTTCACTGCCAAAGGACGTTATCTTAAGCAAAGCAAGTCACTGGATAGATATCTATAAGGATGACACTGAACCATTTTTTTAAGGAAGAGTTTCTGTTATCCAGAGAAATGTTTTCAAAAAGTAAGTCCGTGCCTGAACTACTGAAGACACAGGTAAGTATGAAGTTAGTGGGCAGCTTCCCCAATGTTAATATATCATTATATATTTGTCGATTCCTTACGAGGGCGAGGGATCTTTTTTCCAAACTAAAAATTATAAAAAACTCTTTAAGATCTACCATGGGTCAGAATCGCCTTTCCTCACTAGCAATACTGCACATAAAGAGAGACTATGTTAGGAAAATGGATTTACATGAAATCATCGAGTTTTTAAATTGAGCTTTGCTATTGTGATAAATGTGAAGTTACTATTTATAACACGGGAGTGATATTTCTATATTAAATTTTGATATTGTGATAGATATTAAGGTGTGATATCTTTGATTTTTTTTGCTGTTGTAATACATATTAAACTAAAAAAGCACATAGAGAGTGCAGACCTCCGCCAAGGTGCGTATATAATGTACTTACACCGCTGCTGCGTCCAGACGGTAATTCGGAATGTCACCAAAATTTAATCAGTTCTAAGTTAGTCCCTTTCTGACTTGTCCACAAAATTTCGATGAAATCCGGCCAACACTTTTTGAGCTACGCTGCTAACAAACAAACAAAACAAACCAACGCCGTCAAAAACATAACACTCCTTGCGGAGGTAACAATAACAATAAAATGGGAGATGGTTGAAATGTGGCACACGTTTACCGTAGATTTGTGTACCGAACTTGGATAGTAAATTTATGATTAAATAAAAATTGTCCACAAAATTTCGATGAAATCCGGCCAACACTTTTTGAGCTACGCTGCTAACAAACAAACAAACCAACGCCGTCAAAAACATAACCTCCTTGCCGGAGGTAACAATAACAATAAAATGGGAGATGGTGAAATGTGGCACACGTTTACCGTAGATTTGTGTACCGAACTTGGATAGTAAATTTATTGATTAAATAAATAATGATAATAATAATAACCAGACGGTAATTCGGAATGTCACCAAAGTTTAATCAGTTCTAAGTTAGTCCCTTTCTAACTTGTCCCCAAAATTTCGATGAAATCCGGCCAGCACTTTTTGAGCTACGCTGCTAACAAACCATCAAACCAACGCCGTCAAAAACATAACCTCCTTGGCGGAGGTAATTACAATGAATGAGACAGATATATATTAAGTTAGATTTTATTATATGAAGGGATATTTTAAGTTTAGGTATTGCAGCCAATATTAAGCTAATACCTACAAAGTATTGTCCTTAACTCACTGTATTTGTAATATATTTTTAAGTTAATTTATGTAGATTACAGGATGTTTGATGTTACGCTTTTTCCGATACCCCGCTATAATACATGTTATTTTATTGTAATATCAATTTAATGTATAGTACATTCTATCTTCATTCTTAAATTCTTTGTAATTATTGCATTTTTCTATACAATTTTACATCACAGAGAAGACCCTGGCCAAATTGCCCACTCTGTTCATGTGATACAACGGCTCTGCATGTGTGTGTGTGTGTGTGTGTGTGTGTGTGTGTGTGTGTGTACCTCCTTCTTTCGTTGTTTATCATAATATTTTTCCTCCTTGTACTATTCCCCCCCTACCCGTTCTTCCACCGATCATCATAATCATTATAATAATTTTCCTCTTCTCTTTCTCTCCCCTTCTCGTCTCGTCCCTCCCTCCGTCACTCCTCCTCCTCTTCTGTATCACGCCGCTGTGGCATGATCGAAGACGAGGAACCAGTCATCCAACTGGAATGCGTTATCAACGACTCTTTTATTGCCGTCAAACTCCTCAGATTAGTATATCGCTCGCTCTTCAATCCACAATGGTACAGTCTGTAAAACCAGTGGTAGTACTGTATGGCAATCTACGTCTTGAGTGTACGTCGCACTGATGGTACGTCCAAGTAAAAAGGCCTACTTTATCTAATCAGAAAGCATTTTAGGCTTATCTGCATTCGTCTATATATATATAATATATATATATATATATATATATATATATATATATATATATATATATATATATATATATATATATATCTGTGTGTGTATACAGACATATATATATATATGTGTGTATGTGTGAGTGTGTATGTGGGTATATGTATATATATAGATACATATACATATACATATTTGTTTATATGCAGACATGCATATATATATATATATATATATATATATATATATATATATATATATATATATATATATATATATAATATATATGTACATACATACATGTGTGTGTGTGTGGACACACACACACACCATATAGATAGTTTCTCGAGAGATAAGAGCAGGTTTAAGTAGAAAGCAAAGTAAAGGGTAAATTTGATATGATATGATAAAAAATAATTACAGTGTTTGATGGATATGGTCCATTTTTTTCTTTCAGTTTAAAGGTGTTGCCTTTGCCACAAGGTTTTTGTTTTCTACTTGAGCAGAGCGTACTTAATCGAACGCCAACTCCACCTATATTTCATTGTCCTATGAACAACTGATTAATAACAAGCTGTTAAGAAGTCAGTTCTAAAAGCTAGCCCCCTATAGTTTAAAGATCAAAGTTCATAAATTTACTTCAATTACTCAGTCACCTCAGTCCAGGGAAGAGATTCTTGAGATAAAATTTAATGTCTGGGACTACCCCAAGGAGCCACTTCGTTGAAAGGTGCCCAAAGTTAGGAGCCAAATAAAATTAAGCCGTTGCTAATGTTTTTATTTTGGCAGATGATCCAGTGCGTGATGATCAGGTGAGAAAACACGATACCCAGTCAGGTTCGATAGTTTTGTATTGACTAAAAGTATTGCAACGGTTTCTGTGGATATTCTGAGTGATGCAACAACCTTTCGGTTTGTAATCTTAAAGGAAATGCCCCTTTTTTTGAAGACAGCGTATTATACAAGAATCGGTGGTTCGGTCCAAGGTCAATGCAAGTTATATAGACCATAGTTCGGTCATCACACACAGTGCCGCCTCTAGTTAAGAACTAATTCTCTCTAAGCCAGTCACTGTTGTTGCACAGGAAACTGCCTATTTCTGAGGTATCATTGTTCTGTAAAGTGGTCACTGATACAGAGATTCGTAAAGAGCCTTTAATTTTTATGTACTTATCTATCTATTTATAAATTTTTAAGTCATACTTACGACGAAGTAATAGACTCTTAGATGCACCTAGTGATGACCTTTGGAATATCCTATCAGATAAAAGTGTCTCACTATATCATAAATAACGTCTCATGGTGCTCTTGAACATACTGGAGGGTATTTGGTTATTAAAGGCTATTGGACGTAGATCTCAGACTTTTTAACCGTTCAGTTTTTTTTTTCAGATATTGCAGAGTTATGTAAAAGTTGTCATGTTTGATAGCTTGATAGTGATTCCGCCAGCACTTCTCTATCCAATTCCCGTTGTATCAAAAACATTTTCAAAGGTAACACTTACCTGTACTTGGCCTTTCCCGAAAGCAAAAAATACCTAACAGTGTTTACTTGCTGTTACGTGCAACATCTAATCTCCAGAGGTGCCCTCCTTACAGCGAATGGCAGCCAGGGCTATCAACCCCTTTCCATCTGGTTTTATACAGCCTATGTACAGTTTGGACCTCCTCATGTGGCTCAGTCTGACGAAAGCGCTAACTCTGTATCTAAATTGTTTAGACGGGTCTTCGTTACACTGGCATTAAGCAATATCTGAAATCAACTTACCACCCTGAAAGTAATAATGCTCTTTGAAAAGGACGGCTAGAACCGTGTTAACAAAGATATACCTTAAAAATAACAACAACTGTAGCAACAGGATTACATTTGCTCCTCTTTGCGATCAGAAAAAACAAGTTATTTCCCTAAAATATTACGTAGTAAAGATGGCAAAGAACCGTTAGAATTGCTTAGATAAACTTGATAATATGCCATGAGGCAAGAGGATTGGATCAAGCACATTTCAGAATTTAGTGATTCTAGGTAAATATCAGATGAAAAGAAAGTTGAATTATGACTAATTTGAATTTAGGGAGAAAGGTACTCTTCAAGATCAGTGCTCTTAACTATATAATAACATTTGCTTACCGGAAAAAAGCTGATCCACAGAAATTTCCCGAAAATGTACAACAAGAACCAATATTTACGGAATGATGTAACAGTTTGATTCCTAAATACCTTTCATTTTGCAGATTGTTACAAGATGCATTGCAAATGGAGCGGTTTTCCCAATCTGTGTTACATGTACACCAAATTTAAATCACATCAACATAACAGGCTGCATCTCTGCTCTTGACGAAGTAGAAGTTTGAGATAAATTTAGGAAACACCGGTCAGCAGATGCAGGTACACATTGAGGCCACAACTCTTTCATTTGTATTGAAAATGAGAAACCGAAACCGGCGTTTGACGATGGTGTCCGGTATTCAATTGTACTAATAATAATGATGATAACAGTAATGATAATAATATAGAGTTTATTTCATCAAGAAACTAACATAATATATGCAGGTGTTTATAACATATCGTCCTTGAATTACAACTGAAAAAAGTTTTAAAAGACATGTCCATGTCGTGACCCTTTGAAAGAAACTAAAATGGCAGTGATCAGTGCTAAATGTTTGTCAATATATAGATAGTTTCTCGAGAGATAAGAGCAGGTTTAAGTAGAAAGCAAAGTAAAGGGTAAATTTGATATGATATGATAAAAAATAATTACAGTGTTTGATGGATATGGTCCATTTTTTTCTTTCAGTTTAAAGGTGTTGCCTTTGCCACAAGGTTTTTGTTTTCTACTTGAGCAGAGCGTACTTAATCGAACGCCAACTCCACCTATATTTCATTGTCCTATGTACAGTTTGGACCTCCTCATGTGGCTCAGTCTGACGAAAGCGCTAACTCTGTATATAAATTGTTTAGACGGGTCTTCGTTACACTGACATTAAGCAATATCTGAAATCAACTTACCACCCTGAAAGTAATGCTCTTTGAAAAGGACGGCTAGAACCGTGTTAACAAAGATATACCTTAAAAATAACAACAACTGCAGCAACAGGATTACATTTGCTCCTCTTTGCGATCAGAAAAAAACAAGTTATTTCCCTAAAATATTACGTAGTAAAGATGGCAAAGAACCGTTAGAATTGCTTAGATAAACTTGATAATATGCCATGAGGCAAGAGGATTGGATCAAGCACATTTCAGAATTTAGTGATTCTAGGTAAATATCAGATGAAAAGAAAGTTGAATTATGACTAATTTGAATTTAGGGAGAAAGGTACTCTTCAAGATCAGTGCTCTTAACTATATAATAACATTTGCTTACCGGAAAAAAGCTGATCCACAGAAATTCCCGAAAATGTACAACAAGAACCAATATTTACGGAATGATGTAACAGTTTGATTCCTAAATACCTTTCATTTTGCAGATTGTTACAAGATGCATTGCAAATGGAGCGGTTTTCCCAATCTGTGTTACATGTACACCAAATTTAAATCACATCAACATAACAGGCTGCATCTCTGCTCTTGACGAAGTAGAAGTTTGAGATAAATTTAGGAAACACCGGTCAGCAGATGCAGGTACACATTGAGGCCACAACTCTTTCATTTGTATTGAAAATGAGAAACCGAAACCGGCGTTTGACGATGGTGTCCGGTATTCAATTGTACTACTAATAATGATAATAACAGTAATGATAATAATATAGAGTTTATTTCATCAAGAAACTAACATAATATATACAGGTGTTTGTAACATATCGTCTTGAATTACAAATGAAAAAGTTTTAAAAGACATGTCCATGTCGTGACCTTTAAAGAACTAAAATGCAGTGATCAGTGCTAAAATGTTTGTCAATATATATATATATATATATATATATATATATATATATATATATATATATATATATATGTAAGCACTAAAATATTTACTTTAAAATATTACAGAAATAGAATGTTTATTCTAAAATATTACGGCGCTAAAAATCATATGAAAGGACCCCCCTACTTTAGCCCATTGTCGCCGAGGAAAATGAATGAAAAATGGGGAAAATGCTGTGCTCATTTTTTGTATTTTTTTTGTGAAATGTCTCTACACACAGATGACTCTGCCTTACCTGATTTCACCTTTCCTTGAATCGGCGGGAAAATGTAATTTTTACTAGTGCTATGAATATCGATGGTGTTATTTTTATTATAAACATTATAATTACTATAATGTTACAAACATTAGTAACAGCAAAATAAGATAACGTAAAATATTTTCGTAAATTAAAGAAAAGGGTAAACGGGCGAGACAGACAGTACTCGCAATTGGCTCATTGGTGTTTAGTACAAGTGTAACCATCTATGTATAAAAACAATTAAACAAGTAAACTCACAGTGGGCATGGCACGGATACGTGACATGCCCGTCGCGAATGGGTTAAACCCTACAACTGTTCCTTCCCACTTCCCTCCTCTTTTTCCCTCACTTCCTTTGTCCCTCTCCCATCCCCCATTTTTCTCGGAGCCCCTCTCCCTTCCCCCTCCTTTTCCCATTCCACACCTCGCTTTTATTATCCCCTTCCCCTCCCCTCCCTTTCTCCCTCTCCTCCCTTTCTTCTCTCCCTTCATTCCCCCCACCCCCCTTTCCATCCTTCTTAACATCAGACTAACTACTTCAGCGTACTTGCCTCGAGGAAAAATAACAGTAATAATAATGATAATAATAACAATGATAATAATCATGAGAAATGATAATCATAATGTATATATGTGTGTGTGTGTGTGTGTGTGTGTGTGTGTGTGTGTGTGTGTGTGTGTGTGTGTGTGTGTGTGTGTGTGTGTGTGTGTGTGTGTGTGTACCATACCAATATCACCAATTTTAAAATAACAACGTACTATACAATTATACAATCTATATACAGCACACACCCTCAACGCACGTAGTTCGCAACCCGCACGGCAGACGCAGCTTACGCGAACGCAAACAGACGAACGTAAACAAAGCACTCGACCGGAGGTGCTTCTCGGCCAGTGCAGAAGGGCCGGCTGAGAGAGAGAGAAAAACAAGTCAACAGAAAAGAGAAAAGAGAAAAACAAAGTCAACGGGTTTGTAAGTAGTTTGAGCCTCCAAATGATTTACTGGTTTATGGACACGTTTTATATGAAAAGTGAAGCAAATGGTGTGATTGTTGCTTGTGTAGGTTACGTGTAGAAGATAGTATCGAAGATAAGTGATGAAGGCTTTGTAAAATTTATGTAATTTCAGTGATGCAATGTTTTGGAATAGCATATGTTTGGATTTATCTGTGTATATGTATAGGCATGTGTCTGCCTGTCCGTCTGTGTGTGTGTCTGTTTGTGTCTCTACTGGATCTCAGTGCGAACGCAAACAGACGAACGTAAACAAAGCACTCGACCGGAGGTGCTTCTCGGCCAGTGCAGAAGGGCCGGCTGAGAGAGAGAAAAAAAAAAGTCAACGGTTTTGTAAGTAGTTTGAGCCTCCTAATGATTTACTGGTTTATGGACACGTTTTATATGAAAAGTGAAGCAAGTGGTGTGATTGTTGTCTGTGTAAGTTGCGGGTAGATGATAGTAGCGAAGATAAGTGATGAAGGCTTTGTAAATTTTATGTAATTTCAGTGATGCAATGTTTTGGAATAGCATATGTTTGGATTTATCTGTGTATATGTATAGGCATGTGTCTGTCTGTCCGTCTGTGTGTGTGTGTGTGTGTGTACCATACCAATATCACCAATTTTAAAATAACAACGTACTATACAATTATACAATCTATATACAGCACACACCCTCAACGCACGTAGTTCGCAACCCGCACGGCAGACGCAGCTTACGCGAACGCAAACAGACGAACGTAAACAAAGCACTCGACCGGAGGTGCTTCTCGGCCAGTGCAGAAGGGCCGGCTGAGAGAGAGAAAAAAAAAAGTCAACGGTTTTGTAAGTAGTTTGAGCCTCCTAATGATTTACTGGTTTATGGACACGTTTTATATGCGGAGGATAGGAGGGAGAGAAGCAAGTGGTGTGATTGTTGTCTGTGTAAGTTGCGGGTAGATGATAGTAGCGAAGATAAGTGATGAAGGCTTTGTAAATTTTATGTAATTTCAGTGATACAATGTTTTGGAATAGCTTATGTTTGGATTTATCTGTGTATATGTATAGGCATGTGTCTGTCTGTCCGTCTGTGTGTGTGTGTGTACCATACCAATATCACCAATTTTAAAATAACAACGTACTATACAATTATACAATCTATATACAGCACACACCCTCAACGCACGTAGTTCGCAACCCGCACGGCAGACGCAGCTTACGCGAACGCAAACAGACGAACGTAAACAAAGCACTCGACCGGAGGTGCTTCTCGGCCAGTCCCAAATGGACAGTCAGATCAGTATGGCACTTTAGCACGATAATGATTCACTCCCTGCCATAATTATTGGTACTAGAGTGCATTACCAGAAGTACTTAATTATGGCACTTATTCTTGTATCTGATAGTGTTTATCATTCAGCCAAGAAGGCATTTGAACAGATGAAATGTGACAATTGTGAAGTCTTCGAATCCGCTACTCCTTTCTAACCTCCCTCACCTTATCCCTCCTCCCTTCACCTCCTTCTCCCCCTCTTCACACTCCCTGTCCCCTCCCCTCTTTCCCTTTCTGTGTGCTGTGTGGTGCAGTGGTAGCGATCTCGTCTAGCAATTTTGCTGACCTGCGTTCGAATCCCTCGCCACCAGTGGATGGTAACCCCGGCCATTCCTTGCGCACAGGGGTTAATTTAGAAGCAAAATAAAACAGACAGTATGTCACACCAAGAATATCCATTGTAACTAATGGAATCAAACTAAATTATAATTCTCTCTTGTATTATGTATATATGTATAGATGTCACAGGTGTGTCATACTCTACATGTTGGAATGTTTTCTTGGCTGAAGGAAACTACTATATAAAAGTCAAGAGTAAACAATGTAATAACTACATTAGGCAATGCACTATAGTGCCAAAAATTAGGGCAGGGTGTGAAACAGACTATGCAAAAGTGCCATGCTTATATGACTATTTGTTTGGAATAGATTTACATAAAAAGATGGGTCAATGCCCCTGAAATGCATAGTACTTATCTTATCTTTTCATTCATGTATAGTTGTACACAGTACATACAGTACTTTAATCAACAACTTCAGCAGTTATTTACTGTTTTAGGTCATATGAAAGGTAACAGATATAGATTAATGTTAATGTTATTTTATATATAATTCCTTATCTTGGGAAAAAATAATGTACCAGTTTAGTATATATGGACGCTCATATTATTTCCAGCCAGAGTTTAACGAACTCTTAATCTTCCAGATAGTTGCAAGAAATTCCTTCAACATGTGGCCATTGGTGATAAACGTGCTGAGGACATATGCTCCTTACATCACTTTGCCTGCTGCAGCTGTCATAGGGTTTGTGGGGTAAGATGAAAAAATTAGATGTGTTTCTTGGTATTAGAATTTGGACTAGAGTTTATTTCAAAGTATTTATAGGTTGTACTTTGTGATATTGTTAGGGGATTTCATAGCGTGCATTCAGGTTATTTGAAATGACATTGTAGTGTGTACTCTCGGGTTATTTTTTATGATTTTATAACTTTTACTTTTGATATATTTTATATAATTTTATAAGTTGTACTTCAAAGTTATTTTATATGATTTTAAACTGATTTTATGGCTTGTATATGAATGCATAATTTATACTCTAAGGTTATTTTATCTGATCTGATAGCTTATAGTTGATGATGATATGAATTATTTACTAGACTGAGCAGGTATTAAGGCCATTTGAATGTGATTTTAGACTATAGCTTATTATATAAATGAAATTGTCTGGGAATATCTATCAAATAGTCATACTTTATTAAGAATGCTGTGGTAATCTAGATATGTATGTTATACGAAGGTAATGTTATTAGCTGCTAATTTTTTTTTGTTGAATGAATAAAACTATGGATTTATGTGCATAATTTTACCAGGGAAAATGTGGAATTGATATTTTGATAATTATTGTATGGATTTCTATCAGCAGAATATTTTTCATTCATATCCATTTTACGATGAACTAATGTTAATAAAAATCTTAAATTTGGATAATTTTGTTGATCTAAGGTTAGTATTTCTGTTAAGTATGGATACAGTTGAGAATACTGGAGAAAGCAAAATATTTTTAAGAACTGTATAACTGTGTAAATTATCAGTGATTGATAAGAGTTTATTAACCAAATAAAAAATTACCAGTGTAAATTAATTACAATGATGAGACACAGATAATCAGTTTCATTTAAGTTGATATCTATAAGTGATAAACCAAAAAGATATTGCAAAACCTACTTCAGTATGTCTATTTTTCATTCTGCCAAATATGCTTAATAGAGCTTTGATTCGTAGTTAATCTGTATTTTTCATATCTGTTGTGAATGAATTTTCCTAGTGTGTCAAATAGTAAATTGATAAACTTGGGTCATGGTATTTTATGATACTATGAAAAATGTATATATTAATATATTAATGTTTAATTAGTATTTTGAATCTACCTAAGTGTATGAAGTTATACCCTATTTATATTACAAACATCTCTCTAAAGAAGACAGCAGGGAAATAAGTGGATAAAAATAGGTCCCACATAAAGTAAAATAGAGGCTAATGCTAGGTTCATATCCAGAGCAAAAAGCCTGAGAAAGCTAAATCCTTGGAAGTAATGCTTTACTCAGCAACCCACAAAGTGAAAGAAAGAATAAGGAATTTTGCAAGGATGATCTTTTCTTTATCGGATCCCTCAGGCTTGTCCATTTTATAGGGATTGTGATTGGAAATAATGAACATATGACTGAAAGGATATGCAAGGATTGGGGTGATGATAAAGGAAAGAAATGATAAATAGAAGGGTAGAATGGTGATAAATAAAAAGAAGTTTATTTTGAATATGAAAGTAGGTTTTGGAAGGGATAAATAAAATGATATTAAAAAGAAATATCCAATATACATTTCTATCTCATGTTGGTGCAATATTTAGGCATTCATTTCCATAATCACTACTATAGTCATATCCATTTCCTAACAGGTACAACATAGAGAAGCACTTCCGCACCCCTCCACCCAACCGCCCGTCTGTCGAAGAGCAGCGGAATGAAAGACTTTTGAAGGAGATCCTGGAAACCAAGGAAGCAACACCTGCACCTCTCAGCGAAAAGACTTTTGTTCCAAAGACGATATTTGAGAAAAATGTGTCACCTTCCTTAGTGAAAGAGGAATGAGGCTGTGACTTCTGTAGGCTGAATATGTGAATAATTAATACCTCTCAATATCGCTATTGTATTTATTTTGTGGGGAGAGAATGTCAGTGGAAGGAGCCATATTATGGACTGCTTGCTATAACTTTTTAAATTCAGGACCCAACTCACTTTTACTATTCAGTATGGGCAGGGGAAGGTAAAGAAAGAGAAACTGAGATGTTCTTATAAGTTGAAATTGAAGAAAGTTCTCCCAGTATAACAAATTTAACTCTCTCTTAATGGATGCAGGTATTAGCTTAAGGAGTGGGTCATGAAAGTATGTACAGACTCAGCAATACATCAATATTCTGTTACTGTTCTATAATATATTTTGAATAATCCCATTGCTTTATATTTGTCCTTGTCACAACAACAGTACTAATAATGTATATTGTTTAGTACAAGACTAGATGCCCTTCCATGTAAGAATGGAGTCCTCTTTCAAAAGCAAATAGAGAGAGAGAGGATGGGGAAAAGTTGATTATGTCCACATAGAAATGAAAACTTTAAAAGCATAGTTATTCATGTTTACTCAGATGTTGTAATAAACTTTATTCATAAAGAAGGTGCTAGGCATACAAAATGATATTTCAAATTATTGTTATTATATCATGAGAACAAATTGAATATTCAGTATATTTTTTAGCCCATTCTGTTGGTAGTAATCATAAGCTACAAACTGTTCTGAACTATTAATATCAAGCAAGTAATGTCTAAATTTTTCTTTAAACCATCTAGTATAATAATTTCCACATTTTCTTCTAGATTATCAGCTAAATGATTCAAAAGTTTTCTTTGGAAGTCTAAAATGAGTTCATAATTTTACACCAAGCGAAAGCTCCTTCGTCACCATGCCGTTTTGATTGGAATTCCAAGAGTAAAAATGAGATTTGGTCCTTGATTGTTTCTCTTTATTATTTTTTTTTCTACACTGATTCCTTTTTTTTTGCTTATTTTCCGATATGCTCTTCTTGTTACTCTTCTCCGTTTTCATCTGTTTTTTTCTTCCCATTATTTGTCTTCTTCCTTTTGTTGTTGTTGTTATTATTATTATTATTATTATTATTATTATTATTATTATTATTATTATTATTATTATTATTATTATTATTATTATTATTATTGTTATTATTATTGTTATCATCATCATTATTATTATCGTCATTAATATTATTGTTGTTATCACTGCTATTTTTATTAGAAGTAGCACTATGAATATTTTTATCATTATTATTATAATTTTTGGGTTATACTTTAGAGGCAAAACTCTTAAAAAAAATGTCACATTGAAATAGTGTATAATAATGGAGCAGGTTAAATGTCTAATTGCATATCTTATGTTTTCTATTGGATAAGCATGCATAATATATAAGAACTGTAAAACTGTATTGATGAGAGAAAGAGTAATAAAAAAATAATAAATCAAGGTGTAATAGAGGTGCTAATTTTTAATTATAAAAATATTTTGGAATTCTTATGGGAATAAGCTACTTTGGAGAGTGAATGTCTCTGTTGTGCATGGTTTTATAGAATCTATTTTAAGGATACTGTAAATATTCTTTTAGGTGAGAAAACTTTCTGTTTAAAGAAAGGAATGATTAACATGTAAATATAAAGAGTTTGAAAAATGAATTTTCTTTTTTAACCTTCAATATAGATAGTGCTCAGAATTAACATAAGATATTGGGGTTCATATGAGCAATATTTTAGGGTCAACACAACTGTCTATATATATGTGGACTATTGCACATATAAGTGGTTAATGTGGTTATGTTATTATTGTTATCAGTGTTGTTATTATTATTATTATTATTATTGTTATTATTATTATTATTATTATTATTATTATTATTATTATTATTATTATTATTATTATTATTATTATTATTATTATTATTATTATTATTATTATGGGATTTTAAGCATTTCTGCACTGGCTGGTCTTATTGCCGTTTTTCTTCCTGTTAGGTGAGTCACAACAAATGACTAAAGGCTAACAGGCTTCCTTCTCCTTTAAAGTTCCAGCACTTTTCTCAGTATTCTTGCCGTCCCTAATAACGCAGTCTTCTGCAATACTCCCACCTCAGGCACAATGTCCATATTTTCAATCCAACGTTCAAGATCTTTTGTAACGCTTCCGAGGGCACCAATCACTACTGGAGTAACTTTTGCACATCGCAGTTCCCACAACCTTTTTATTTCCATTTTCAGATCTTGGTACTTTATTACCTTCTCTAACTCTTTTTCTGTAATCCTCGTATCTGCAGGTACAGCAATGTCAACTATCAGAGCCTCTTTCTTTTCCTTTTGAATTACTATAACATCTGGTCTTCTTTCCTGAATGACGTTATCACATTGTACGTTGATATCCCACAGAATTTTCACAGCCTCATTCTCAACAACACCTTCTGGAATGTGTTCATAGCACTTATGGGAATGCTCAAGCCCGTGTTTCCTACACAAATCCCAGTGTGTTTTCTTTGCCACGTTATCGTGACGCCTTTTGTATTCTTTCTGGGCTAATTTCTCGCACTCTGAAACAATATGTTGTATGCTTTCACCTCGTTTACCACACATTCTACACAGTAGACTGTCGCTGCTCATATCTATATAGTGCTTCACGTAGTTGGTCCTTATTGCTTGCTCTTGTGCAGCACATAGAAGAGCTTCCGTTCCAACCTTCAAATCACTCCTTGACAGCCATTCCCAAGATTTAACCCTGTCTACCTTTTCTGGCATCTCTCTAACATATTGCCCATACATTGTCTTTCCTATCCATTTTTGCTTGAGCTCTTCTGCATTTCTCCTTTTGAATTCTTCCTTCTCCATTGTTTCCTCTGTCTGTATGATTCCTGATGCACACACACCTCTTATCAACAACTCTTCTGAGTTTGCCACATAATAACCTAGGCTGTTTTCTTCTCCTTTTACACAATGCTCCACACTGATAAGGCCACGACCTCCTTCCTTCCTTTTCATATATAGTCTGTCTACATTACTCTTTGGGTGCATGGCACCATACATGGTCAGGTTTTTTCTTGTCTTTCTATCGATACTTTTCAGTTCACTCTCTCTCCAGCTTATTATTCCTGCTCCATATCTGAATATTGCTACTACCCAGGTATTAATTGCAGTTATCTTGTTTCTCCCATTCAGCTTGGACTTTAGAATTAACCTCAACCGTCGCTTATACTCTTTTATTGTTTTCTCTTTCATTTCCTTCTCCTTCACCTTCTCTAATTCCACAATACCCAGATAAGTATATCCTTCTTGTCCCACTTTTATTATCTCATCATTTGGTAATTCTATGCCCTCACATCTTACAATCTTCCTTCTTTTAAGGACTAGAACTCCACATTTCTTGATTCCAAATTCCATACCTATATCAGTACTAAAAATGTGAGTAGTCTGTATAAGGGAATCTATCTGTTCTTCACTCTTGGAATATAGTTTCAAATCATCCATAAAGAGTAAGTGATTAAGTTTATACTCCTTTTTCCCCCACTCATAGCATACATTTACCTTTCTGAGTAATGATGATAATGGTATCATGCTTAAGACAAATAACAATGGTGATAACGTATCTCCCTGGAATATCCCTCTTTTAACATCCACATCGCCAAGTTCCTCTCCATTGGAAGTTAAGGACAACTTCCACTGCAACATGCTTCTTTGCAAAAACTCTGTCACGTTACCAGCTATGCCAAACATTTCCATACACTCACTAATCCAACTATGGGGAAGAAAGTCATAAGCTTTCTTATAGTCTATCCACGCCATAGCCAGATTAGTGTGCCTTTTCTTGCAATCCTTCAGGGTTGTTTTGTCAATCAATAACTGATCTTTTGTACCCCGGCTCCTTCGCCTGCAACCTTTTTGTTCATCAGGTAGTAGATATTCTCTTTCTAGGTAATCGTACATTTGATCAGCTATGATTCCTGTCATCAGTTTCCACATCAGTGGAAGGCACGTTATCGGCCTATAGTTCTCAACTGCATTCCCTTTCCTGGGATCCTTTTGGCACAACACTGTCCTTCCATGTGTTAACCACTTGGGAAGGGTATCCGTTCCCATCAAAATGTTATTTAGTTGATCAGCAATTCTGCCATGCATGTTGGTCAGGTTTTTGATCCTATATCCCTGGACACCATCTTTGCCAGGACACTTCCAGTTTGGAATTTTCTTAGCTTGTTTTCTGACACTTTCGATACTTATATTGACCGCTTCCTGTGAGTGCCTCCCTTTAACTTCATCCTTTAACTCAGACAGCCACTCTGCACCTTTGTTATGTTCCTTCTCAACTGACCAAATATCACCCCAAAACCTTCTACTCTCCTCAGCATCTGGTACCTCGTTTGTTCTAATTTCACCTCCATTCAATTCCTTGTAAAAAAAATTCTGGTCAACACTAAATATTCGATTTTGTCTGAACTGGTTAATCCTTTGATCGTATCTTTTAATTTTTGCACTTTTGGCAATCATCCTTTGTTTCAATTCTTCAACGACAGTTTTAATACCTTTCTTATTCACCCGATATTTCTCTTCCAGTCTCTGCAATTTTTCACTTTTCTTGTGCTTGAGCTCGCCTCTTAACTCTCTCGCTTTCCTTATTCTTTTAATATCATCTTCTATGCGGCGTTTCCACCAAGGAGCTTTCTTAGCTCTAAATTCCGGCTTCTTTAACCCTAGCTGTTCTCCAACCCATACAATTACTGCCTTTATTAATTCATTAGTTTCTGTGGTGTTTTTGGTTTCAATATGACGAATCACTTGATTTACTCTATTCATTTCTCTCTTCAGTTTGTTCTTATCAACCTTTTTAAATTATATTCCTTCTGCTGTTTTCTTTTCAACATAAATTTTTCTTAGGTTCTCAACGATTTCCCTTTGACTTTCAGACAAGATATTCTCTAACATACTATCTTTGGTAACAAAACCTCCATTTTGATGATCGTTTTCCTCCACATTTACATCATTTACCATTTTTTCCTCAACATCGACATCCATTAAGTTTTCGTTATCGACCTGCTCTCTACCATCCTCCACATCGTTATTAGCTTCTCTTTCCTCTTCCCCTATAACACTTTTTATCATTTCAAACTCAAGTTCTGAAAGCCAACCTTTCTTTCTGATGGCTCTGGCCTGGTCACTTATGCGTTGCTCAGTCGACTCAAACCCTCCTCTATTCCTCCATTCTCTGAACATTCTTTGCCTGTATCCTCTGCTAGGTTTTCCATTTTCATCAAATGGTTTATTTCTATAAAAACATTCCATAACTACTTTATTTACTTCTTTATTCCACTTTGTTCTGACAGTAGTAGGATAACGACCGGGTCTCCGCTGTCGAACCAAAGAACACCTGCCGGACGAGGGACCTTCACATAAAGTTCCAGTCCCATTCACGCCGTTGTCTGGGTTATTTCTATTTGACATCACACTCATAAAGAGGATTGTGGTGATAGGCTGTCACAACCACCAGTATTTTTATCGTGACATCACCACTAGGGGGGTTGCCAACCAAAGCTAAAGAGTCCCCCCAACCCATGAGACAGACTAGTCCCCGCCGGACGCCAGCCCGGTACTTCACGGTCTCGGGGGAAGCTGACAGTTTCTACACCTTGCTCAAGGGTGACCTGGAGGTAATTGCGGCAAAGGGTAACCTCATTATCCCACGTCAACACTCCGCAACCGGATGCAGTTTTGTGTCATACCCAGGACAATTATTATTATTATTATTATTATTGTTAATATTAATATTATTATTATTATTATTAATATTATTATTAATATTATTATTAATATTATTAATATCATCATCATCATCATCATCATCATCATCATCACTTGAGGCAAGTATGCTGCACTGTAGTTGGCAGACTGTCAGTTTATACATATTTGCTATTTACATGACTATCAGAGGTGTGGGGTTACAAAGGAAGGTAGGAGGGGAAGGGGGGAAGAAGAAGGAGAAGAAAAGGGACTCAAAGAAGAGAGGGGGGGAGGAGAAAAGGAGAGGAAGGTGGCTGAAAGAGGAGATGGGAGACGGGAAGGGAAGGGTATTTAAAAAGAAAAGGGAGATGGAATAGGGGAAATGAAGGGGACTTAAAGAGGAAAGGAGGGTGAGAAGAAAAGGAAGGAGGAAGGAGAGGGGGTTTAGAGAAAGTGGGATGGAAAGGGAAGAAGGAAGGGAATAGAGGGGTGGGGGAGGTTAAGGAGATAGAGAAGATAGGAAGATTTGGGAGTGAAAGAAGAGTGAGAATGGGAGGGGAAAGAGGGGGAAAGGGTGAAGGAGAGGGAAAGGAAAAGGGAGAGAGGAAGTGAGAGATTCGAGGAGGGAGAAAGAAGGGGAGAAGTACCTCATAATTATTTTTGTTTCCTGGATTTTCCACAGGTCCTGCTAGTAAATATTTATTAGGAGAGAAAGACAAGAAAATGCCTAAAATCACATTTGAACACGACACAGAAGTTATCTGTGCTTACCTCTTAACGGTTATAATAACTTTTGTCAACAATGATATCATACTCGGAACAATTAATCACTGCTGATAAAACTGCAACATCTCCAGATGTAAACAAGAAGTGAAAAGTAGATGGAGTACAGGACATAAATAAAAACATTATTGTCATA